TTATATCACATAGCAGCCGAAACAGGTTCCACCTTCCTGCTACCAACAGTTAGGCTGTGTTATATCACATAGCGGCCGATACAGGGTCCACCTTCCTGCTACCAACAGTGAGGCTGTGTTATATCACATAGCGGCCGATACAGGGTCCACCTTCCTGCTACCAACAGTTAGGCTGTGTTATATCACATAGTGGCCGATACAGGGTCCACCTTCCTGCTACCAACAGTGGTAGGCTGTGGTTATATCGTTTGCTCGTCGGCCCGAAGACCGGGTCCACCTTCCTGCTTCCAACAGTTAGGCTATGTTATATCAATGTGTTAAGCCCATTTCTGGTGTCCCCCACCGTGATATTGCTGGAATATTGCTAAAAGCGGCGTCAAACTAAACTCAGTCAGTCAGTCAGTCAGTCCACCTTCCTGCTACCAACAGTGAGGCTATGTTATATCATGTAGCGGCCGATACAGGGTCCACCTTCCTGCTACCAACAGTTAGGTTGTGTTATATCACATAGCGGCCGATACAGGGTCCACCTTCCTGCTACCAACAGTTAGGTTGTGTTATATCACATAGTGGCCGATACAGGGTCCACCTTCCTGCTACCAACAGTTAGGTTGTGTTATATCACATAGCGGCCGATACAGGGTCCACCTTCCTGGTACCAACAGTTAGGTTGTGTTATATCACATAGTGGCCGATACAGGGTCCACCTTCCTGCTACCAACAGTTAGGCTGTGTTATATCACATAGCACCGCTACAGGGGTCCACCTTCCTGCTACCAACAGTGAGGCTGTGTTATATCACATAGTGGCCGATACAGGGTCTACCTTCCTGCTACCAACAGTTGAGGCTGTGTTATATCACATAGCGGCCGATACAGGGTCCACCTTCCTGCTACCAACAGTTAGGTTGTGTTATATCACATAGCGGCCGATACAGGGTCCACCTTCCTGCTACCAACAGTTAGGCTGTGTTATATCACATAGCGGCCCGATACAGGGTCCACCTTCCTGCTACCAACAGTTAGGCTGTGTTATATCACATAGTGGCCGATACAGGGTCCACCTTCCTGCTACCAACAGTTAGGCTGTGTTATATCACATAGTGGCCGATACAGGGTCCACCTTCCTGCTACCAACAGTTAGGCTGTGTTATATCACATAGCGGCCGATACAGGGTCCACCTTCCTGCTACCAACAGTTAGGTTGTGTTATATCACATAGTGGCCCTGATACAGGGTCCACCTTCCTGCTACCAACAGTTGAGGTTGTGTTCACATATCACATAGCGGTGAGGCGATACAGGGTCCTACCTTCCTGCTACCAACAGTTAGGCTGTGTTATATCACATAGCGGCCGATACAGGGTCTACCTTCCTGCTACCAACAGTTAGGCTGTGTTATATCAAATAGTGGCCGATACAGGGTCCACCTTCCTGCTACCAACAGTTAGGCTGTGTTATATCACATAGTGGCGATACAGGGTCCACCTTCCTGCTACCAACAGTTAGGCTGTGTTATATCACATAGTGGCGATACAGGGTCCACCTTCCTGCTACCAACAGTTAGGCTGTGTTATATCACATAGTGGCCGATACAGGGTCCACCTTCCTGCTACCAACAGTTAGGCTGTGTTATATCACATAGCGGCCGATACAGGGTCCACCTTCCTGCTACCAACAGTGAGGCTGTGTTATATCACATAGCGGCCGATACAGGGTCCACCTTCCTGCTACCAACAGTTAGGCTGTGTTATATCACATAGCGGCCGATACAGGGTCCACCTTCCTGCTACCAACAGTTAGGCTGTGTTATATCACATAGTGGCCGATACAGGGTCCACCTTCCTGCTACCAACAGTTAGGCTGTGTTATATCACATAGTGGCCGATACAGGGTCCACCTTCCTGCTACCAACAGTGAGGCTGTGTTATATCACATAGCGGCCGATACAGGGTCCACCTTCCTGCTACCAACAGTTAGGCTGTGTTATATCACATAGTGGCCGCTACAGGGTCCACCTTCCTGCTACCAACAGTGAGGCTGTGTTATATCACATAGCGGCCGATACAGGGTCCACCTTCCTGCTACCAACAGTTAGGCTGTGTTATATCACATAGCGGCCGATACAGGGTCCACCTTCCTGCTACCAACAGTTAGGCTGTGTTATATCACATAGCGGCGGATACAGGGTCTACCTTCCTGCTACCAACAGTTAGGCTGTGTTATATCACATAGTGGCCGATACAGGTTCTACCTTCCTGCTACACACAGTGAAACTTTGTAATATGTCAGTTTGTTGCAGGACAACCTGCTATTATGTCCTAGAGACAATATATTGGTTGTCTTTCCTATGATGTCTTAGAGACAATAAATTGTTGTTCCAGCTATTATGTCCTAGAGACAATAAATTGTTGTCGTTCCTGCTGTGACGTCCTAGAGACAATAAATTGTTGTCGTTCCAGCTATGACATCCTCAAGACAATAAATTGTTTTGGTTCCTGCTGTGACGTTCTAGAGACAATAAATTTTTGTCGTTCCAGCTATGACGTCCTAGAGATAATACGTTGTTGTCGTTCCTGCGGTGACGTCCTAGAGACAATAAATTGTTGTCGTTTCAGCTATGACGTCCTGGAGACAATACATTGTTGTCTTTCCTGCTATGACATGCAAGAGACATGTTGTCCTTCCTGCTATGATGTCCTAGAGACATGTTGTCCTTCCTGCTATGATATTATGTTGGTAGGATCTCACTGAAGGATTGTCGTCATTTGGATTTCTCTTTGCCAACTTTACTGTCATCGTTAATGACAACCCTTTACTTTATTTTGAGCCACTACTTGTCCTCATCTCCTTAAACATGAAACATTTCCAATCAGACATAAAATATTCCATCACCCACTTAAGACATTGTGTATGTTGTCAGTTGTTTGTAAAGTAACATTTACACAAGCTAATATCTTAGTAATCCATTAAATTTGTCATCTTACCAAAGTAAGGAGTAGCATAACTTGCTGATATGCCTCAAGTCGTAGACTGAGCCTCATGTCTGACTATATAGGGAGTCTCTCATGTCTGACTATATAGGGAGTCTCTCATGAACATGGTTTGATCTCGGTAACCACAACCACTTATGTTACACTGTCATCTAGGTATTTGTACAGGTTGCCCTTGAGTGGAGGACTTGTTTGTAATCTCAGTGTTACCTTGTTGCTAGGACTCAAGATTTTTTTATGATTCAACAGAATAAGATCAATGAACTTTTCAGAGAAATTTAACTGTGAAGCATCTGATCAATAAACATCGTTCTGAGAAATTTAACTGTAGAGTCTTTGGACCATGACATGGTTCACACACATCCGCGGAACATTATTTCTCTCTTTTCTGATTACAACATAATTGAAATGTTCTTTACTAGAGTTCTGTATTACTGGTGGGGCGGTGGGGTAGCCTAGAGGTTAAAGCATTTGCTTGTTTGATTCCCCACATGGGTACAATGCAAAAAGCCCATTTCTGGTGTCCCCCGCCATGATATATTGCTGGAGTATTGCTAAAGGCAGAATAAAACTAAACTCACTCACTCACTCACTGTATTACTAGTATGTTGATATGCTTTGTATGGGATAACTTCCATATTAATACTTGATACTGTTCATGGTATTGGATGTAAATAATACAAAATAAAATGAAATTGGGAACTTGTGCACAAAATGATAGACATGAGAAACTGGAAATATTGGAACTGGAAATAAACTATTTTACAATTTTCAGTGGTAACAATAATACCCTCAGGAATGATACGGATGAAAGACCTAATAAAAGTTATATTCCTTTCACCATTTGAATGTTCAAGGTGTTATGTTATTAACAGTTTGTAATTTAGGGAAATGCCAGTTTGGTAGAAAGTATATATCTATTTTCAAACAGGATAGTTAAAGAAACTTCAGACAAGGATATCATTTTGTCAGTCATGAGAAGAATGTTCATAGTGCATTTCACTATCGAGTTTAGAATTTGCTTGTTTTAAAGATGAAGGAAAGATTTAGTGATATTTCTCAGAACAGAATCATAAACTTACACTGATAATTATAAACAATTCAATGCATACTTTTAAGTAAGATGAATGGTAGTTGAAGATTGGTCATACACATTCACGATGATAGCCTCCAATCATCTGAATATGGAACAGAAAAGAGACAATATGATGTACACAATCTATTGAAGGGTGTACTGTTGAATGCACAAGACTGTCGAGAAACAAGCTTTTATGACTCCTTTCAACATGTAAACAAAGTATAATTGAGCCCTCTAGCTCCAGGTGGACATTATTGTAGCACATATTTGGAATTGGACTCTGTTTTAAGTTAGATATTGTTCGAAAAGTCATGCCCTTGAAAATATATCCCTACACATATTTGAAATTACAGTAAGTATTCCACAAGGATATTGAGTTGTTTTTCTTAATTGTGTGTATAGGCAGCCCTTGATTACAAAGCCAGTGATGTGTATATCGTACTGGAGACGTTTTGGTTGAAGGGGTTTTGATTGCTTCATCACAATGATAAGAGGATAATCAAGATAATAGGGAATTAACTCCTTGTAAACCTCCCAGTGTCTGTCAGCTACCTGGGGTGACGGCATCCCCACACCTGGATGCCTGGAGGAGAGAGTGATGGATGCCTGGATGATAATACTGTAACACACTAGCTATACGTTGTCTTGTGTTCTGGGATCTAGATGAGATTTCTCTGATGGAGAGAATCAAGGTATGAACTGCAGAGCGAAAAACTGACATTTCTTTGGATCAAATGAATATTGTAGTGGTTATTGTAGGATTGAAAATGTAGGATTTCTCTGTCAGTCAAATCTGACTAGATTAGTCTCACTGTGTGAATTTGACATGTTTCACCCGCTATAGTCAGCCATGCCATAGGTTTTGGTTATCTAAGACACTGTAGTTGCTATAAGTTGTGTCATGGTACTAAGTCAGAGATGTCCTTTGCAGGTTGCCTGCGGATCTGACCTATGAGTGAAGATGAGATTATGCAAGGAGCCAGCCCTATTGCATACAAAGTGGAGGAAAGTGTGAGTACTTGATTATTTGGAGGCTGATGGATGGCACCATTGTGTCATCAAATATGTCATCAGTGTCATGATGTGTCACTTGTCATGTGTGATGGTATGTTTTCTGTCATGTGTCATGGCATATCATGACGTGTCATGTGTCACAAAATGTCATGATGTGCCACCTGTCATGTGTCATGATATGTCACCTTTCATGTGTAATGACATGTCATGATGTGCCACCTGTCATGTGTCATGGCATGCCATGATGTGTCACCTGTCATGTATCATGACATGTCATGATGTGTCACCTGTCATGATTCATGGCATGCCATGATGTGTCACCTGTCATGTGTCATGGCATGTCATGATGTGCAATTGTACATTGTCTGTGTCACTAAGAATGTCAGCTGTGTAGACCATGAAATCGCTGTTTTGTGTGTTTGTGTTTTCACTATCTGCTTACCAGCTGTGTCATATATGAAATGCTGTGTACACTTCAGTTTGTGAAGTCATGATGTCATGTGCTGTTGAGTGTTCAAATGTTTTATACTAACAGACAGTTCTACAGTCTGTCTGTCATTTTGTGTGTATCATACATATGTGTAATTGGGAATCTTTCTTAAGTATTCCCTTCCTTCTCAGAAGTATCGTTCATTCCGTACCTTGAACTATCGCTTAGCCCACAATGCCCCAGTCCTGTACAGCCTGCATATCATTCACTACTAGCTTCGTGACATCTGACTATAACTTCACAAGCATTTAACCCTTTGTTAAACGTCCAACTGGAGATCACACGATTCAAGTCCATTAGTTAAGTTGGAGTAAGGAAAACAAACATTTCTGTCAATGGCATCAGACAGGGGTGTGTGGGAAATGTCACCACGAGCGTGCATACTTCGTAAATAATCCCCCAAAACAAACCAACCTCCAACAACAGGAAAGGAGTCTCACAAATTATTCTCAAATATCTGAAAGGCAATTTGATGACAGTTTGTAGACATAAATTCACACTTAGAGCAATGCCTGGGAGTAGTTGTAATGCCATTAGTTTATTGAGTCTATGCACGCAGTACAGCAAGTACTAAGAGTCCACCCCACAGTGTAGCTAGACCCGTGGTAACTCCACAAATCCTCGCCAGTGGTGTGTGCAGAAAGGGTTCCTCTGTATTGTGTAGCTTAGGTGAAACGGTGCTAATCGTTCCATTCAAGATCTTTGAACTTGAACAGTGATGTGACATTTTTATCACAGGATAATGTACTATCTGCATTTGATTGTTGAGCATAGCATCATAGAATTCATCATGAGATGGGTTTAGAGCAGACGCCCAAATTGTTCCGCTCCATGGCTTGCTGGCCCTGATTCAAGGTCCATTTGTCCTGGCTTGGTCCAAAGGGATCGCATCAATACTAATCTGTTATGTTATCAAATGGTTAAGCACACTCAGTAAACACAGGAACACTTTAAACAATTGTCTATACAAGTTGGTTAATTAGATCTTTTAATTTTTGATGATTCAATATCCATAGAAATTATTCTGAGGCTTTGCCACTTTAAGTTCGTCACGGCGATGTCTTGTTTTGTTGATAATGATGTTCAATATTTGTGAGAGTAAACAGACAATGACATGCAGTGCTTGGTTGATGTAGGTTATTTTTATAAACACTGACAAACACAAATACTACTTTTAAAAACATTGGAAATAAAAATTTCAATGAATTGATTTAAATACCGAAGTGTTGATTTCAAGATGTATGTCTTCTTTCACGATAAAGAAAATATCAACAAAGATCTCTTTACTTCAGTTATACTTCCCTGTAGTCACCATAGTGACCAATATTACAGATACCACCAGGTACCCATCTATGGCTGTTTCATATCCAGTGAGATTGATCAGTTGACCTATTGAGGTCAGTATGCCAGGACAGTCTCCCTGGTCATTGTGTTGATATCGCACACACTTCATGGTTGATGCAAGCTACACACAGTATGTTTGTACAAATACTAATTGATTATTGATGAAGGTTGTTGGTTTTGGAAGCTTGCCTGAGGCTATATGCTGGAGAGGGAATTGATCACTAGCTACTGCCATCATGATCTTGCCTACCCAAGGAGCTTCATAGCACAGGCTCTCATAACAGTCTTGTTGTAGGATATCTCAATCGACTTGAGTTGTGGCCCTCACAATTACTGTCATAACACTCAAGTTCAGGCCTAGCTTGGATATCCAGACCTTGTACTGTGTAATTTCATTAACTCACATATGTGTATTATTTTTAAGCTGACACAGTACTTTGAGACACTATTGCTATGCTGTAATATTGACACCCTCCTTGTCTTTGTGTAACTGGATTTGTTTGATGACAACCAGGACTACTGAGTGTTGATGGTTTCACTGCAGTTTCAGCTGATCTCAACCGTCTCTGACTGTGGGAAGAATGTCCTCAAACTTGCACTACTCCCATTGCCATGATCTTATGACTGTGATTGTATGATTGAGAATGTGATCATTTGACTGGCAGTCCTCCTGTGGGCAGTGTCCCCTGATCATGTGTGACTGGCAGTCCATGATCATGTGACTGGCTGTGGGAGAATGTGATCATGTGACTGGCAGTCCTCCCTGTGGGAGAATGTGATCATGTGACTGGCAGTCCTCCCTGTGGGAGAATGTGATCATGTGACTGGCAGTCCTCCCTGTGGGAGAATGTGATCATGTGATCAGAATGTGATCATGTGACTGGCAGTCCTCCCTGTGGGAGAATGTGATCATGTGACTGGCAGTCCTCCCTGTGGGAGAATGTGATCATGTGACTGGCAGTCCTCCCTGTGGGAGAATGTGATCATGTGACTGGCAGTTCTCCCTGTGGGAGAATGTGATCATGTGACTGGCAGTTCTCCTGTGGGAGTTCTCCTGTGGGAGAATGTGATCATGTGACTGGCAGTTCTCCTGTCATGACTGGAGTTGGCTCATTTGACCTGTGGGAGAATGTGATCATGTGATCATGTGACTGGCAGTTCTCCCTGTGGGAGAATGTGATCATGTGACTGGCAGTTCTCCCTGTGGGAGAATGTGATCATGTGACTGGCAGTCCTCCCTGTGGGAGAATGTGATCATGTGACTGGCAGTCCTCCCTGTGGGAGAAAGTGATCATGTGACTGGCAGTCCTCCCTGTGGGAGAATGTGATCATGTGACTGGCAGTCCTCCCTGTGGGAGAAAGTGATCATGTGACTGGCAGTCTCCCTCCTGTGGGAGAATGTGATCATGTGACTGGCAGTTCTCCTGTGGGAGAATGTGATCATGTGACTGGCAGTTCTCCTTGTGGGAGAATGTGATCATGTGACTGGCAGTTCTCCTGTGGGAGAATGTGATCATGTGACTGGACAGTTCTCCTTGTTCTCAGTCCTGTGGGAGAATGTGATCATGTGACTGGCAGTCCTCCCTGTGGGAGAATGTGATCATTTGACTGGCAGTCCTCCCTGTGGGAAAGTGATCATGAGAATGTGATCATGTGACTGGCATGTCCTCCCTGTGGGAGAATGTGATCATGTGACTGGCAGTCCGGCAGTCCTCCCTGTGGGAGAATGTGATCATGTGACTGGCAGTCCTCCCTGTGGGAGAATGTGATCATGTGACTGGCAGTCCTCCCTGTGGGAGAATGTGATCATTTGACTGGCAGTCCTCCTGTGGGAGAATGTGATCATCTGACTGTCCCCTGTTGCCTAGCCTGGCCAGAGTTCAATACATTCACCCTGCATCGCTCTGCCATGGTAATAGAGATGACAGATGACACTGGCACAAAGAATGTTACATATATTGATTTCTGTTTAGATTGAGGTTGTTATAACAATATCAATACAAAACCGCTCTGGTAGGTTTATGTCACGTTGTCTTGCATGGTTAGGTATGATAAATGCTTACTTTGCTGTGAACAATTAAAAGCAGTCTGACTCAAGTCATTGCTATGTTATTAGGGCATTGTTGAACCTAATGTACATATATAACTCACAGGAACTGTAGTTGACTAAACAAAGGGATGCCACATACCTGAAGGCCTCAGTGTTAGGCAGCTTAATGGAGATATGTATGAATATTCATTTGCCTATTGTAATCAGCTCTCAGTTTTGAAAGTATATGAAGCCCAACATTTAATTTTCTGTTCCACTGATTATGTTCACTATATCAAGGAGCAGGAAGCAAAATTTAGATAATAGAAAAAGTTGTTGTTAATTGTTTATTGTTAACATGAAAGATAACTTATGAACAAGCTTGTCTATAAATGAAGAACATATACCCCTGGAAACGAATAAAGGAACACACAAATTGCAAGTGTTCCTATACTCTTTTCCAGGTTTCTTGCTATGCTCTATATTGCACTGTGGCTGAAAATATGGAAATAGATAAAGGAACAGATGTACTTTCATGTTTTCCCTTATTCAATTCCATAAGTATATATTGGTCTGCTTTTTAATATTTAATGGTGCAGATGATATGAAGCCCAGTGGCACATGGGGGCAAAAACATCCAGTTAATGATGCAGTATTAAATCACATGCTATACACTCACAGGATATGACTGGAATATGGGATGATTCCACACCCCTTTTCACTAAATGTACATGCATATCCCTGTCTCACCAGTCAGGCAAAAGTAGTAATTAGTGATTCAGGCATTACAGATGTGCGTGGGGATACCGAGACATTCAGGTCATCATCAGTGTACCCAGGTATTAACTAATTAAGGAGATCTTCACCTCACTAATGAGATGGCCTGAAATATCTGGCCCATGCATATCTGAAATATTGATGAACACTAAACACAGTATCGGCATCCACTCAGGACAGAAAGGGGAGAGTCTGCAAAGGAGGACATGTAAACGATGGTGGACATAATTACAGGTGTTTATTGATTAGTGTGTTGTATGGACAGTTGATGGTGATTGTCTTCAGTTTCTTTGATCTTGCTCATGGTAGTGTCCTTTGACTGCTTCATAAACATCTTCCTTCTTTTGATGGCATCAA